CACAATTTAATTAAGCAACTGTCAAGTTCACAAAGGAAATCACAAGGGATTTTCAAGACTGTCATTAACAACAGAAATATCAGGCCAGATCACAGCAGAGATCCAAGAAAGTTTAGCAAGCCTGCTAAGTAGGAAACCTGAAACTCTAACCCTAATTCAAAGAGGACACAGGCAAGTCCAATGCAAAGAGGTGAAGCAGCTCCTCAGTTCTGCAAACAAGGAGATGCAAAGGCAAATAATTTGACCAGATCTACCAGGTCATCTTTGGCTAGTCCATCAGCCAGCGTTGCTCACAGAGGACTCATTATAGCATGGCCCAGGGCAGCTGTGGAAAAGGGGAAAGAGAATCCAGATGAAAGAAACACAGTATCTAGGATGTATCAGTCTCTCATTTGTAATAAAGTAAGGGGAAGGTACCATTGAGTGCCAGGGAGAGTACAGCAGCTGTCAACAGAAAAACCCTCTCCGTATGTTAATCGTTGGGTTTTCTTTGTTTTCAACCAGATGCCCAAATCTTAAGACATTAGTATGTAATTAAAATCTTGTGTTAAATTACGATCACGTTCACAATATTCATATGTTACTGTTTTATTAATAGAAATAGTATTGGTGCATTCACTTAAGAGTTGGACTCGATGATCCTTGTGAGTCCTTTCCAACTCAGAATATTCTGTGATTCTGTGTATTGGTGTTTCTAGGGCCAAACATTTTACTCTAAAATTCAATCTCAGTAACAAGCAACACTGCCTCCCCTTGCTGAGGGAAGAAAATACCCTGGGCCAAAAATGTAGTCTTTTGGTACAACCTCTTCTGAAATCATAGGCAGTGCTGTCCAAGTGGAGTCTCAGCCTTTGGGGAAATGTTGCTAAGCCTGGAGAGAGTGTTTCACAGGTGGACAGACCATCTCTGACTAGGCAGTTGAAGATCGGCCTGAATCACCGTCTAACAACTCTTTGGCTGCCTCTGGAAAATGAATGACACCACAGCTCGGGATGTAGGTCCCTTCACAACAGCTATAATGGTTCGTAGAAGTATTTGTCAAAGGACAACTCCCAGCAGTGTAAGCAAACCTTCATATCACAGGTGGGGCATTTTGCTCACAGTCATATTTCTTTTCTGATTCTTAGAGAGGATTTCTGTTTTCAGCAATGCCTATACAGCACTACCTGAGACATCTTGACTCATTAAAAAATTAAACAGGATAAAACGTAAATGTCAAAAATAAATTAAAAATGGTTCAATGACCTTCTGTGGCGTTTCAATTGCTTGTGTTGTTATGCTCCCTACTTACTGCATTTTACAAAATCTGAAATTTTATATGTTTTGCCCTCTTGTATCTTTGCTTTTAAAACATGACATATTCTCTTAAAAAAAAAAATTCAAAAAGGAAAATGGGACACATTTTTGTATTAAAAATTAAAAAAAAAAAACAAACCCAAGCTACAGCAAACATACAGACAGATAGAAAGTAATTGTGTTCATATTTGAATTTTGTACTTCAAGCCACCTTTGATCAACTTGATTAATAATCCTTTCAAAAAGGTTTTATAGCTGGTATACTTCAAGAACACAATTAAAGTAAATTAATCTGTTCTGCATTATGTGTTTCATAAAATTACTGTTCCTCTGATTACTTTTGCAAAAAAAAACATGTAACTATGTACAAATGCATTTTTCTCATTGATAAAACAAGCTTGTGACACAGCTTCCAGTACTGGCCAAGCAACAGCATTGTGAATATCTAATAAATCAGCAAGCCTGATGATGCAATGTCATGTGAGCTAATACACAAACTACTACACTTTTTATTCCTGGAAAAGAAAGAATAGCCCAATTCTCAGCTCATAGCACCGACTCAGCTACAATGTAAATCTACAGCTATCAGTATCTGTGAAATAATGCCACCAGCTAGTCAAAGTGACTGTAGTTGATCCATAAACCTTTCTCTACTGAAATCAGTAACAAAGTCTTATTCAAATTCAACAGTATGGTTTTGCATGGCTGAATTTCAGAGACACTGTAATAAACAGGACCATCTGATTCCTGATCTGCAAGAGAGACTCACTTTGACCTTACCATGACTGCCATGAGCAGGCTGATGTCACTTCACCCCATAAATCCCCTCGCCTGGCGCTGTAGCTAAGCACTGCTGAACTCAGGTACCCTCTAGAAACACTGCGATGTTGTAATTAGCAGTGAGACTTCCAATGCATTCCCCAGCCAGATACAACGGTTGCTGTGGCCACTAGAGTAAAAGAATGTGAAAACGGATTGGGGAAGAATGAAAAAGACAGGTAACAGCAGAGAAAACACAGTAAAAACTTCTCTGTCTCATATTAAAAGAACGCAATAATCAGCAGGAATCAGCTGAACTGTCAGATAAGTATTACAAGAAACAGCAGGTTTTTTAAAAGAAAAAAATTTCCATTAAATTAATTATTTCAGTGGAGAGGAGCAATGATACATAGAAGATATCTCTGAAACAAGCTTTTGCTTCTTGACGTCTAAATTACATTAGGTTTAGTTTTGTCTTTTTTTGAGAAATTATGTATTTAAGATTCTGTTTGCAGTGTAAGAGTAATCTAAACCCTTCCCTTATTTTTTGGCAAAAGCTGTGCATCATTCACGTTCAGCTGTTAACTGTGAACTGTTCACATCTTAGTGTTGTTTCAATGTTCCTATGGCAAGGCTAAACAGCATTTCTAAAACAATGATATCCCCAGGCCTGCACTGTAGTTTCTGAAGCACAGATTAAGCACGGTATTCTGCCCAACAAGCTCATCACTGTTAAGTAACTCATCAGAAAATAAAGAGGGAATTATCAAATGGGAATTGCCAAGTAATTAGTTCTCTGAAGCAGATGACATACAACTGTTAAAGGGAGGGGCTTCCCTGTTAGTCATATGTCAGAGTAGAGACTACTAATCTGTAAATAAAAATGCAGTACATATGATTAGTGCCAAGGGGTTTTTAACAGCTAGTGGTACATGGAGAATAAAGTTACAACTTCTTGTACTGTAATAACCTACTAGGATTTTTTTTCTCTTGTATACAGTGAATTTTCAAACCATTCTGGATCTACTTGTTGTCAGACTACCTTGGAAAAGCTATGAACACAGCACAGTACCAAGCAGGGAATGTGCTCAGGGGCTACGGAAAAGGAGAAATGCCTTTATTATCATATACATTTGAAAATATCACTTTCTATTCGACTACTATACATGGCACTGAAAAGGAACTGCACGAATAAGAAAATATTCACAAGTACAAAATATCTGAGCACAGTAAAGGATTAAGCCTGTTTTTTGTAATTATCCTTCTCCATTAAAGCCAGACTTTCTTTTAAGTAGCTGGCCTCACAGAAATGTTAAATATACAAAGCTGCAATGGCCTTCATGCCTTTGGGTATCTGACAAACAAAAATATGGTAACAGTCACAACCATACTCCAATATGAGTGAGAAACACTTTAACATTTGTACTTTTTTACAGTGCAAGGAGTGACACAAAAAATCCTAAAGTCAGGTTTACAGCTAGTTCTAAATAAGTAATTGATGAGAAAATAAAGAAGCAATTATCAAATCTAGGGTCTGCCTCTATCGCTGTCTCACTATGAGAAACCCCTTCATCAACACATTTAAATCCATATGCCGCCAACTGGGCTAACTTTTGACCAAAACTATACCCCCTGGTACGGAAGGCTAACTTTCACCCAAAACCATACGCAAAACCATGCCCAGGAGGAGGGCACACACACAGATTCAGGCGTATACACAACTTCACGTCACATCTAGTCACCTCACCACTTTTCGGCCTCCAGGACACAGAAGCTCTCCAACTGTCTCATACTTACGCTATATCCAAAAGCCTACACTTTTAAAGTAATGCTAACAAGTTGCAGTGCATAGGACAAAAAGTTTCTTATTCCATTTGATACACCTTTTTAAAACACCAAGGTGGAAGGTGAATCAAACCTCAGATCGTGGCTTGTATCACATTATGAACATGTGTCTTGTATTTTTATGTAGACAGACCACTACACCCAACTGCATTTATACTTCGGACTGTGTATGAAACTTTCCATCAGTCAGATACCAGACCTTCAGTATCTGCTGAAGGGACAACAGAGCAAAAACATGAAAGGTTACAGCTGAGGTGAGGAGACCACAAAGCCTCACATCTAAGACAATGCCTGCACTCACAGCATTTCATTTAATTTACCTTTGAGTTACCCACACACAAAACAAACAATTAAAAAAAATAAAATTATTTCTAATTACTATCCTATTATACCTAGTTCACAGCTCCATTTCACTTGTGCTCTTAACATGCTAAAAACCTCCACTGCCTATCTTCTTTTAACCCTACAGCTACTGTAGACCTTCATAAACAGCATGAGAGGGAAGAAATAAAACCAGCTATGATAAAAGGACACTGATACGATAACCAAAAAGCTACCATTGCACACAGTAATATAGAGACAGATTGGCTCTTTTTGTGGTCACTATTAAGTATTTTAAAAGGGCAGATTGTTGTCTGTTTACAGAGAGCAGTAGCCAGAAGCCTGCGTAAAACAGAAATTACGTCTTATGTACAAAATAAGCTACAATAGATAGTGTACAGTCATACTTATTGAAAATTATGCCCCAAAAATTTTTTTACAAATGGGCTGCAGCTGTAAATTCAACCCAGCACTATAATACGATTAATAAATATCAAGTGATTTGACAGTGGAAAAGATTAAAAAGAACTCTTTAATTGTTAAAATGTCCAGTGTATCATGCAAAATCCACTCAAGACAACTGTTTAAAAGAAAGCATTGAGTGATTTGCCTACGTGGAAGGAGGCAGTGCATGCTGTGAACAAATAACAATAGAGAGAATAACAAAACAAATAACAGTAGAGAAGGCTAAAATTAACTAAAAAAAAAAAGCAAAGCTGTATCTATTTATTTTTATTTCATTTTATTTTTACTAATCCCCATTTTCTTGTCCAGGCAAGATGCTTAGCAGGCTCTGGAAAAAATGCTGCTGCTTGATTTGGAAGGGTAAGCACACCTGGAGCTCACACACAGCAGTGACATTACTCCCTGAAGCCACACAAATCATCAGGTGAGTAAAGCCATGAACGCACATGTAGGGATATTAGGTCTCAAGAACAGTTTCTGAGATCTCATTTTTGGATGTGTTCAAATGCGTCCAATATTCAGTCCCTCTGACAGATACCATGGTAATAACTCAGGTCTGCCTAAAACAAGAAATAAACGCAAAAGCCACAAAGACAATGGGCCCGAGTACGAGATATTCTGTCTTAAGCTGTGAATCTTATCTGTGGCTGCTCACTGCGTGGTGCCAAGTCACGTTTCTTTCATGTGTTACTACTGTGAGCTCCTGCCTGTTTCTCCCAGTGAGAGAGAGAACATTTGTAAGCAGGTAGTGCCTATCTCAGCAACTTTTATCTCACTTATTTAGTTATACAGTGGGCCTGATTTTGATTGTTCCATAGAGAAGACAAGAACTAACTAATGAGGTCAACAGAAATAGCCCCAAATTCAGTGACTAAAAAGTCCAACAAGAAAAGAAGCTAAACTAAATCTAATCTAAGATCCACAAATACAACACTATACTTCAAGCTGAGCTGGTACAGGAAAAACAGCAGTTTATAACTATATTCCTGTCATGTCTCTGCACCAGACTGGGTTACATTTTTTATCCAAAATGTTTGCTTAACATCTAATATATTCTCCCTTCTGCAATTGCAGAAAATGCCAGATGCTAAAATATTCAAGGTGACTTAGCAATACATTGTGGGTAACACAGTCTGATTATTCATAGGATTTGACCAATACGCTATAAACTATTATTTTTTCTAATTAAGAAATACAAGCCTTTCCTGAAGTAATCACTTCTTCAAATAAATACATTTTTATACAACCCAAGCTAACCCTGAAAAAACTGAAAAGCTTTGTGGAAATGATAATGTCTTAACAAAAAGCTTCCTTCTATCTCCCAAGTCAATAGCTAGTCACTACTACAGCTGCTACCAAGTCAGTTTTCTTCCAAAACAGAAAGACGAAGTGTGTCAGTGCACGGGGCACTTTGTGTGTTTTTTCACTCTCAAGAAATTCTTATTGGTCTGAAGAGATACAGTGGTTAAAATCTACCCCCACCATTCAAGATCATTTGTAAACCATAACAGGCATGTCTTTGCACATTAGTACTTGCTTAGGCAACTTCCCTTTAAAACACAGCACCCTTCCCCACAGCCACAATAAAATGTAAATTATGGGCTGCATACTTTGCTATGACATGCTGTATACATTAAAAAGTATTCTGCAATGGATACTTTCTGATCAGCCTCACATACACAAAATGTTACAGTAATTAAGTTTTCTGGTAGTAAATAAAAAAAAAAAAACAACCAACTTTGATTTTCTGCAAGTAATCACTATATTTAATTTTCTTTTATTTAAAGACACAAGCAATTTTATTATGACCCTTTATCTTTTTTTTTTAAAGCATTAGCAGTATTGCCAATCCCAAGCACTTAAAAATCATAGAATGGGTCCAAAAAACCAGGCTGGCTTAATGACAATCAGATTAAAGAAATAAAATAAAAATTTATGTTCTTTTTATTGGCAGTACGACTGTTGAGTCTTGGGACTTGATTTTTTAAGGTATTCTCCACAACCATATGGGAAGAAGAGAGAGAGGCAAGGGTGAGCAGACTGATATATGCGCACTATTATATCCTGTTTGACTACGATATTTCAGGAACAAAATCAGAAGAATTTAAAAGATTCCCCAAACCAGAATAAAAGACACCTAGACACATCAGTAGTGACTAGTCATCCTAGGAAGTATTCTTATGCCAGATAAAGTTTAATGCACAGGAGGAACTTGGGACAGTGGAAAAGTCAAGCAGGTGGCAAGCAACAGGAACCACTGAAAATGTTCATAAAAGTGCAGGAAGGATATATACAATTTTATGCATGGCATTTTACAACAAAAATCAAAGTCTGTCAACTTTTCCGTTCATACTATCATCTTTTAGTAACTCAATATGCTGTGATCTGAGGTGAGCGTAAAACCACTCATCTGGAACCCATTTGTCCTGTAAGTCACTGAACTGAGTCACCAGAGTTAATGGAATTTTTCTGAGTAGAGTTTCTCAAGGACCTCTACTGCCAGGCAAGGGAAGTACAAATGTATCACGGAGAGGTAATCATACAGATAGCAGGAAGGTGTGCACGCTTCTTAAAGCCCAGAGCAGACAGTGTATACTTGTATTAGGAAAATAAAAGCATTGCATTCTCACCTTATTGGCAGTGCATAACTGTATGGTGAAGACAAAAATGAAGGTGGTCACTGTCCTACAGGGTCAAGAATAAATTCACAGCTTGTATTGCTTGCCCATGTGGTTTGGCCCACGATGTGACTGTTGATCCAGGAGTTGAAGAGATGGAAACCAAAATAAAAAGAAACAAAAGCACAGTTAAGAGTCAAGCAATTTACACATGCTAAGACATTCCAGTGAAGACTGAGAGGCTCCATTTGCTATTACTCAAGCACAAATAAACTATAGATTTAATCCTGCAGACAGAGCACATACAGTAGAGAGTAGAGCCCATTTATTCAAACTGAGTGCTCTTTTCCTAAATGTGATCTTAATGAGGTGAAGAATCATAAGCGAGTTGAGATGACTGCCTTCACTGCCAACAGAACATATTTTATTTGAGAAGCAGCCGCATCCTGAAAACATACTGCTGCAACTACTACTATTAGGTGAAAAATAATCACCTTTTGGAACGTGACTTTATCTTGTACACTATTTTGTCATTAATGGTGGTATGCTAGAGTCAATGCCTCTTACTGCAAAGTCCCAAATAATATAAACAAAGCAAAACTCTACCAATGTGATTTTTTTTTAAATTTCTGTAACTTTGTTCAGTAAAATTATAAAGAGCTAGCACTGAATTTCTGCTGACATCACGTATTAAACAAAATACATTTGGGTTTTTCACTTGGAATCTCACCAAATATTTTTATCACTCTTGGTACAATAAAAGGATTTAATGGGACCATTTCTCCCTCACTGAGAAGCATTTCTGTTGTTTCGGTTATGAGCATACTTACTAGTTCCTATTTATGGAAGGATTTACATGCATATTTAACTCTAGATAGGTTCTTCAATCAATTCTTATTCAGCAAAACCCTTACTGGGACATATACTAAAGTAACTTTGCAGACTGGGACCAATGAACGCATACAGATCTGCAAATGTTGTACAACCACCTCAGACTACAGCTTTGAGAGGAAAACAACCCACAAAGAATTACATTCTCAATACATGCACTGAGATCAGAAAGGAATTATGGTCATCGATCTGTTTTTTGTCTTTTTGCAAAAATCAGGAGTCTACAAAGTTTCTTACATTTTAAAATATTAGTCATGCATCACCTCAGTCAAAACAGAGTAAAAATCCTAAACTTTCTTATATAAAGAATGTGAACCACTGAATAAAACTCCAAAATACAGTGCCTTCATCCAAATACCTATTTATTTATTTATCACACTTGCATAAAAGTAAAATGAAAGGATGAGGTCAGGATTTCCACTTTGCAAAGCTTAGGCTATTGAAGTCACCAGAATATAGCATGTCAGTTCTTTGCAATGAAATATTTACCTGTGCCAAGCCTGCCATACTTCTGTTTCTTGTGCTAATCATATTTTTATCTGTTAATGCAGAGTCGGTTACAGCAGTCTCAGAAGATAACTACACCTAAATCTGTTATCTGCACTCCCTGCATTGTACACACCATACCTGTACGGTTCTCCAAAACAGGCATATCATTCACAGCCTGCATGCTTATAGCTGAGGCTGTCACACAGCCTGACTTGTCTCAAGCAGCATCAGAGTGAGCTGCCTCACATGCTGGAGTAGGTTTGCAGCCAACCAGTGCTTTCAGACCACCTATGCAATTCTGACACGCATTTCCTTAACAGCCTGCCATACTTCTTTATTGCATTTCCCCTTCAATTAGTACACCACAACAAAAGAAGTGCACTGTATGAACAATGACAATGATAATCCTGACTGCCACTTACTAAGATGTGCTGCTAAGCTTCAGCAAGGGGAAAACTAGGCCTTGATTTTGTTTCACTAGCTATGTTACTAAAACAATTATTTTTAAATTCTAACATTGAAATCCTTAGTTGATTTTCAGGCGACTGCATCCAAGTGTCTATTTTCTTAATTAATGGGAAACTAGGCCACTGGATCTATTATATAAAAAATTTTAAGTGAAATTCCAGGCCTTTTGTAAATGTCTTTTAAAACAAGACTATTTTTCTCAACTTTTCTAAATAAATTCAATCAGGCCAGAAAGGCAAAGAAGAAAAGTTGCACTGTTCATTTTCAAAAAGTCTTTCAACTATGTATATATGGCCTTTTTGAAAGCAATTACTTTCTAACACTCTTAGTCACACAGGTAATTTGTCTTACAATAAAATATGTATAAGCAGCATGCGGCACACAAAGGCTCACACTACAGGAGTCATCCTGTGCGCGACTATTCCACTTTCTCCAGCCAGTCCTCCCAACAAGCTCTTCTATTTCAAGCCACCTCCTCAGTATGGAGGCCCAGAGGTGGACACACCGAACAGAGGATATTCTCTCCTAACTAGAAGGGCAAGTTAGCTGAGGCACTGAAAAGTTGCACTTTGGGTGCAGAAAACTGCCCACAAACGCCCTTTCCCCTTGTCCCTCTGAGAAGAAACACCTCTGTTCAGCAGGCAGGCTGAGACCTGCAAACTCATCACACCAAACCCAAGACCACCAGCTGCCTGTTACCACAAAGCTGAACCACCAACAGGCATTTCTCATTACCTCCTCCTTCAGCTCCAATGCTTTAGCACCAGAGAGATTAAAATATCTATTTTAGAGCTATTTCTAGATTGCTTTATGCTCCAGCCTGGTACTTACAAATGCTCAGGAGCTGTGGGTGCTGATGATTTCTCATCACTGAGACATGAAATCCTCCAGGCCAAGTTCAATATTAGTGTAAGTCCACACAAGATTAGTGACTGGAATAGGGGTGTTACCCACTTCTACAGACACTTAATGCAGCTTCTTAATCAGGCAAAAATCCCATTTAAGCCCACAGTGCTTTTTGCCATGAAAAGTAATATAGAGAAAATAACAGTGATACGCACCAGATCACTTTCTGAGCTTGGTTACTCTACTACATGCCTGGATTAAGTCCAATAAACGGAGTTATTCTAGATATACACCCATGTAAGTGGCTCACAATCCCGTCCCCTGGAGTCACTCCAGATTTATGACATTAGAACACAGTGCCAAATTTGGTGCTTTTAAAAAATTATACCTACATTTGTGGAAAAGTGGCTTAAAAGAGTGATGTTTAAACACTGAGAATGAAGACAAATATACATTGCTTGGTGAAACATGTTTTTAAGAGCAGCATGCAGTTCAAAGCTAATTCTTTGCATATTCTTTCAAGGTATTATAAACTGCGGCAAAAAGTCTCCTGCTCTGTGGCTATAATATTTTGATGAGCACAAACACAAAAAAATAAAAATGAAAGAAATACTACTACTGGAAATGAAGCGTTTCCCGAGGAGAAAATTGTTTTTAGTAGTATATACTTAGGATTTTATCAAGAGAAACTGCAGTCAGCTTTAACCTAGAACACAAAACCTTGCTAAGAACTATGACAAGGCTTAGCAAACCTAGAGTGACAACGTTGATATCAAGTATCACTGATTTTCATTTTACCAGGCAGAGGGTGTAAAGTACAGTACACGAGTGAAGAATAACAAACCTGTGGCCTAAAATGTGAATGCTGGAATGGGAACTGTTCCAAACAACATGACAGCCACCAAATAGTTAATCCAGACAAACAGGAGGGGAAAAAAAAAAAAGGAAAACTCCGAAGAAACTTTTATGCAAGCTTTTATAAGCCAAAAGCATTTTTACAAAGTACCCCACCTTCATTAATTTGTTAGTAATACACGCAAGTGGAGCTGACAATTTGACTAACCTGCTAAGCGTGCCATGTACGGTCCCATCTGCCTGACACTACTGCAGGCAAAGAACACTCCTCCCAAGAAGTTCAGCCATTAGGAACCCACCACTGGCATCCTTCAATTTTCGGCAAGCCCGAAGCGGTGCCCAAGGCACCCACAGAGCTAGCGGTAGCCCTCTGGGTCGCCCGCCAGCCACACACACACACCTGGCTGGACGGTGAATACGGTGAATCCGGTCTGTTACCATGGCAGCCTGATCTAATTACATGACTGATCAGGGCTGGAGTAAGCACGCTGAAAGCCAGCACCGCTGACATGTCGCTACATGATGAGAGAGACAGACAGACAGACAGCCGAACACGGAGGAAAACCTATCGACCTCTGCCTTATGTAAAAAGTGAGATTACAGTCACTCTTTCAAAATAACTGCTGTCTGTAAAATACCGGGCCAGTTTTATGAACAAATTAGGTGCAATAACGTACAATTACTACTATTATCTCACATCACAAAAATAACTACAGCATAATATTTTCACTGGCCATTCTCAATTTCCCTCTCCCCCATTCATAACCCTTGCTCCTTATGATAAAATTGCACCGTCTCCATCACCCAGAACAGAAATAGATTAACACGAAGCCGGGATTTTCCTTTAGGGGAAGGTTTCATTCGAAACTGAAATTAAAAGTCCTTGACTTCTCGGTGTGTCAGCACAGTAACTCTCTATTCCTGACCATATCCCACACATAAAGTAACCATTACTGCATGAAATACATAACCATGAGCGTTAAAGGTTAAAGTGTAAGCTGTGTAACAAAATATAAATTTCTTTACCATATGAAAGGGAAAAGGTCTCCAGCAAAGGTCATCTACCTGCACACCCCTGCCGATCTGTACACAGAAATCATTTGTAAAGAGGAAGGTTTTACAAACACGGATTTCTTTGCCTGGGCATAACAGGAATGCTTAAATTTCTTCCCCAATTCTATCTGAAGTTCGGGCTCACGGGGGAGAGATGCTGCTCGAAGGAGTCCCTATTACACAGCATACGGTAAACAAAATAAAAATAGCCTGTCGCTCTCGTTGTCTACACAGTGCATTATATAACGGGCTTCCGATTTGTTTTCTTTTCTATTATTACTCTTCAGTAATTCCTCCTCTTCAATAATATGTAAATCGCTCCCAATTCTGTCATTTTATTATTACCGCTATTACTATTACAGTAGGAGCTAATGCTTTTCCAGCACGCTTTAATTTAGACTTTAATATTCTCAGGAATCGCATTGACAAATTCAGCACCCACAACCGTACACGGGGTCATTTATTTGTTTTTCTGCCAGTAAATTAGGATGCCTTAGGAATAAAAAAAATAACATTAAAAAATAAAAAAGAAAAAGCCGAACCACCACCAACCAACCCCAAACTCCCGCAACCGAACCACCCCCACCCGACCCAAGCAAACCCGGCGGTGGCGGGGCATCGGTGAGCGGCAGGAGGGCAGCGGCCGCCGCTGGCGGCGAGCTGAGCCCCGGGGCGGCGGCGGTGGGGAGAGCCCCGGCCCCGCTCCCCCTCGGGGCTCCGCCGGCCGGATCCCCTGGCCGCAGACGGGCAGCGGGGCGGCGGCCCTCCGGCGCTCCCCTTCCCCCACCCCTCCCGCCCTGTCCCTCCCGGCAGTACCGGGTGGCGTCTGCAGCCGGCCTGGGCCCTGAGTGAAGCGGAGCGGGGCTGCTGCCGGGCACATCCCAGCGCCAGCGCCGCCTCCTCCACCGCCTCCTCCTCGCTTCATTCACCCTCCGGCAGCCGCCCAGCCCCGTACTACATACGCCGTGCGGCGGCGGCGACCGGCCCTGCCGGCGACCGGCCCCGCGCTGCGCCCCGCCGGGTCCGCCCGGCGTACGCGCCCCGCACGGCCCCCCCCGCACCGCGCTGACACACGCGCGCACACACATCCACGGCACCGCACCGGCACCGCACCCCCCCGCACTCTCACACACACGGCACGGCACTGCACCGCACCGCACGTACCGGCACCCTCCGCGCGCACACACACACATACACGCATCGCACCCCCCCGCAAACACATACACACAAACACACGCACGGCACCGCACACACACACCGCACCGCAACCCCCGCACACGGGCACCGGCACCGCACAAATGCACCTCATCCCGCACATATATATATATATATACACAGATATACACACACACTCACACTCACGCACCGCACCGCCCCCCCCGCACACACAGTCTCACAGCGCAGTCTCACACACCCCGAGTCCGCCGCCGCACCGGGGGCAGCCGCGGCTCGCAAAATGTCCACCGTCCCCGCGGCCACCCACACCCCGCCCGGGCCGGGGGGAAGCGGGAGGGAGGGGGGGGGGAGTTGGTGAGGAAGAAGGAAGGAGCCGGCGGGGGGGGTGGGGCAGGGCTGTACGAGCGGCTCCCGCTACGGGGCCGCCCCGTCCCCCCGCTCCCTCCCGTGTCCCCGCATCCCCACTCCGCTTCCTCCGCGGCGCCCTCGGTAATTTCGCGGCCGCCCCCTCTCCCTCGCTCCCTCCCTCTCTCCCCAAGGCCGGGCCCGCGGCGGCAGCGCCTGCGGGCCGGGCCGGGCCGGGGGCGGCCGCAGCGAGGCGGCTGCAGCCCCGCGGCGGGGTGGACACTGCGCTCCCCTTCCCCCCCACCCCAGCCCCGTGTTTTTCCAGCTGGAAATCGACGGAGGTTTGCAGCCTAAACAAGGGAAGAAGCCGGGGGTGGGGGAGGGAGGCAGAAAGCAGAGGAGGAAGAAAAAGCCACTTACTGTAAAGTGTCAGTGGAGGTGGGGTTGGCGGGGGTGGGGGGTCAGAGAGAGACTCGCACACAAATGTCTTCCTAGCTGATCACGGGGGGTGGGTCTGCTTTTTTGTTTGTTTGGCTTTTTTTCTTCCCCCTGCAGTGACACAGGTCCGGGATGTCTCCACCACTGTAGTAGAAATGATGTCTGCGGTACAGCGCTCGCTCCCTCTCCTCTCTCCAGCATGTAAATGGGTAATAGAAGCCAAATATGGAGCAGTTGGCTGCCTCTGCAACAGCTCAAGGATCCTACTTCATGCAAAAGGCGGGGGGGGGGAGGGGGGAGAAGGGAGGAGGAGGTGGAGGAGGAGGAGGAGGAGGCAAGGCAACACTCTGGCAGGCGGCCAAGAGAGCCACACAGATTATTGCATACGCACGGCACCGCCGGGCCAAGGCGGCCTTAACCCTTTGCGGGGCCGCCGCACGCTGCCCGGGGGCGGGGAAGGGGACTGGGGGGGCTCTTCTCGACACTTACCTCCTCCTTCCCCTTGTAACACTTCAAAGGCTAGGCTGGCTCTCTACGGTGGGCTTAAACCCTGCGCACGCCAGTGTTCCCGAGAAGTCCCCGCTCCTGTGGCAGGCTGCGTTGCGCGGATCTCAAATCACTTTGCAGGCGGAAAGAAATGAGATGGGGAGGGGGAAAAAAAAAAACCACACCAAAAAAAAAACCCAACCCCAAACCTATATTGTTTAAGGGGGAAGAAACAGACAGCTAGCGAGGCGTGCTGTCCTTCAGAAATGGCAGGGAATGCTGTTTTAAAGGATGCATGAAAATCGGTTGCTCAGTCAAGGCTGGTCTGTCTCTCTAAGGGAGGAAATAAAACTGTGCTGGAAGCCAGGGAATGCTCTGAAGCAGCCTCTGCGAGAGTCAGAAGAGGGTGATTTTATTTAAGATGCCATATTGCATTTCGCTGTGGAGAACTGTGAAGTGATTTAGAGCAAGAGCCTGCATCCCACTCCCTTTTTCTGAATTAGTTTTATTTATCTGGATCCTTGGCATATGCTTGAGTTGCTTTGTAGAAAGTACCTTCCACTTCATTCAGACCAAAGAGGCTCTGACTCATACCGTCACTGAACTACAAGACAGGCAGGGCTGAACCACGCATGTTTGGGTACTGACTCCCTCTGGATTCCTCAGCACTGGTTTCATCAAAGATCTCTTCGCATCTCTCCCAGCTGCATGCAGACCACTGTGAGCCTCTCCCCCCCGCCCACTATGGCAACTTACACTTCCCTGGCACTCCAGCGCAGCTTGTTACTCTCTTACTTCTCTCAACACGGGTCTTTGCTCTGCAAGTGCCAGAAACTGCAGTGATGGGCACAGATGCAAAACAGAGACCAGAGAAAATATCCTCCTTCTGGACTGTCTCAGTCTGCTACTCAAGTGAAAAAAAAAATCAACTTACTAAGGGAGGTACAACTTAGAGAAATAAAAGAACTTATGGAAGCAATGGATGCAGCCCAGAGAAAGGAAAGGACAGCAGGCTGCTCTGCTTGCATGCAACCTGACAGTGGTACATAAGAAGCCATTCACTGATTTGGCATCAGGAAAAGAAGTAGAGCACAGAGAGGGCCTCTCCCCACCCCAAGGACATTGCAAAAAGTGTTGTATAAATACCAAAGGCTGGTAAGCACCAGCTCCATGGAGCTGGATGCTGTGGGGTCACAGGCCTCAGAAAGGCCTGAGATGTGCACTCCATGTGACATGGCCATCCAGACCAGGCCATTTATTGCAGCTTGTATGAATTTGCCACAACGATATGCTCCAAGCTACCTGGTTTCTAGTGCAGGTATACCTCCTATGTGTCCATTATCTACTAGCATTAGGTTTTAGCATTAAATCTAGCATTAGAGTCTAGATGCAAAGTACCCTAGGACTCAGCCTGTCATTGTGCAGATCAGCAAAGTAGTCCTTTCTATAAATTACTGTACTAGTCATCATAATTGCTAAAGAACATAGTAATAACATTGTAAACTTCGGTGCTCTTGCTTTAGAGTTGATACTGTAATATAGACTAGCATTATGAAATGTAAGGATCTTTTACTACAGCACCTTCTGCATCTTTAGTTCAGGTTCGCTATGAAAACCAACATGATATTCTGCTCTAGGAGTGGTCTGGGGACAGGAGAAGCAACAGGCTAAGATGTCTGGACAAATGTGCTACTGAGCACTACAAGACTGAATCTACAGCAGCAAAGCAGACAGCAAAATTATATTCACCCAGTTAATGTAAGGTTCATTGATTTAATAAAAGGAACCAAGGGAGAGAGACAAAGACTGGAGATTACTGAAAATCAAGTGAAAGCCCTGGAGAAATTCAAACCTATCATCAAGGTTCAGTTCTGAGTACACGGCATTCTCCTGTCTGCCACCTTTTTTATTCCAGTAGTACAGAGTGTTACCTCAGGAGAAAGGAATCTTTCCTTCTCAAACGTTCACCTTGCCAAGAGGTGTGGCACATGCAGAGAAAGAGAAGCCACATTCATGCTGAAGCAAGCTTTGGGCAACTTTCCCTTCTGCAGCAGGCTCATGTAAGAGGCTTGTGTGTTCCTCCACTCTGTGGCCATGGTGTTTGCCTCAGGACCCTCATTTTTTGCCACACTCCAGGCTCTAGGCTTTTACATCTTTGTCTGTGTTTCTGCTTCAGAGTAGTAAAGAGATTCCCAAAATATAGGTCCATTGTAAGTCAAAGCAATAGTTTTCCTGAGCCAGCAGGCAGCCTTAGCCCATTGGCTCTGGAAAGTGCCACAACCGCCACCAGCCGCGTCAGGTGAATAAGCCATTCTCACCTCCTTTTTGACTTGATATATAACAGGTGAGGGATGAGGGTACTATGCCTCTGCAAACATTGACTGACCTGCGGGACATAAAACTGTGTCATAAGACGTCCTTGTGCCTCTGCATCTCCCCTGCTGAGGGCCTACACTGGGCCTCAATATATTCCCTCCACAAAGAATTCCACAAAATATGGAGGTGCTGATGAAAGCAGTGAGTGGGACAGAAGAACCCATGTCAACTTGAGCATTTTTATTTACTGCTGGCGATGTGCTGAAACTGATATGACCCCCAGTAAAATACAGTATTGACCAAAAGATAAACAATTTTACATGCAAGATGCACACTGCATACTTTATACCATTAATAGTACTTACGGAAAATGAAAGAATAAGTGGTGTAATACGTTGGAATTATTTTTTTGTTAAACATTCATATTCAGGGAAATCCAGGGATTGACAATGTATTGAGCATGAAAAGTAATTTCACAATTATTGATTGTTACAGTCCAAGTCTCCAATCTGTCATAAAATGACATTGTTGGTCTCATTACAGCCTCTAGTGGACAGTAGTAATCCACTTCACAGACCTGTCATACCATTTGCTCAAATGACAAGTGTTATCAAGGCAGAGGTTACTCCAAGAGAGCATGAACATAGAAGTCATTCTCATCCCCTGGCAAAGAGGATTTTGAATACAATCAAAGGTTTGCTGTCATTGCTCATAAGGTGCCTTGCTTTACTCTTCAGGTATTAGCATTGGCTTGTAAATAAACAGGGAACTTCTGCTATTCATTTCAGCCTCTGACAGCTTTCATAAAAACTAAATTCATCTCAAATATTTTTATAACAGAAAATATTGGTTGCCATGTTTTTGGCTTAAGTAAGATGATTTTATTCCAACTCAGAATCTGCCGACTGCCCAATTCACCTCCTATCTATTTATAGCCCTCTTGCATTCAGATAAGTTTTGCTAATGCAGTTATTTTCATTATTATTTCAGACATATGCAGCTGATTTAAGGTATTTTAACAGCTTTAACAAATGAGAAACTATAATTTGGATTGCAGCTGGCTAATAAAGGTATGCTTTCCTCAGGAAAGTTAAAAATGTACACAATCTGAAGAATAATGTATTTGGACTGCATTCTTTAAGTGCCACTTGTGTGAACATAATAAAATATGACTAACATCTTTATTTTTTGTGTATTCACTTAGACATAAGCGCACCTCCTGTCAAAACAGAGATGTTGAGGATGTTCTCCAGTACTCTGTGATTGTTTTCAGATGCAAGGAAATTAGATTGGTAGACACAGAGAGCTACTGCTGTCTCTTTAAAGCCACAACTATCTCATGCAAATTAACATTTAGTGAAATGAGAGCAAAGCATTCATGAAGACTAAGCAAGTATGTAGTACTACACTGTGACTCAAAGAGAAAAATCTTATGATCTAAAATGCTGTGGTCCTTTGCAAGTGAATTCAAAGGAAAGGCTGCCCTTAAATTCTTTATTTTACCACATTGTGGCTAGGTAGGGGTTGTAGGGTGCTGAACAAATCATTATTTGTCATGCCTTCCATATAGTGCTTTTGGAAAACTCCATAAAAGAGTCTGGCGTAATAAACACTTGAAGAAAAGTACCAAGATCAGTGTTTACAGAGCCATAGTGCTGTCTACTCTCTTATATGGTTCCGAATCATGGGTCATCTACCGCCACCACCTGCGTCTCCTAGAACGCTTCCATCAACGCTGCCTCCGTACAATCCTAAACATCCACTGATCAGATTATGTGACCAATACATCTGTTCTTGAACAGGCAGCAATCACAAGTATTGAGGCCATGCTACTGAGAACGCAGCTGCGATGGGCAGGGCACGTCTCCAGGATGAAGGACCACCGCCTCCCTAAGATCCTGCTTTATGGTGAACTTGCCACAGGCTGCCGCAAGAGAGGAGCCCCGAAGAAAAGATACAAGGACTCCCTGAAGCAACATCTCAGCCTCGGGCATATTGATCACCATAACTGGTCTACTCTGGCCTCCAATCGGGAGGCCTGGAGACAGACCATCTAGAACGCTGCTGATGCTTTTGAGAAAGCACGCAGGATCACCCTTGAGGAGAAAAGACAACGCAGAAAGAATCGAGCCTTGCAGAATATACCCTCTAAGGAGTCTTTCTGCTGTGTCTTTTGCAACTGGACTTGCCTTTCTCGTATTGGCCTTTTTAGCCACCAACGCGCTTGCAAGAAACGTGGGTAGAGCCCTTCCCAAATCTTCGTTCGCAAAGCCTAGCCATGACATGACATGCCTTAGAGTATAGGTAATGGGATATTTAGGTACAGAAATATTTACCTTATCATTGTCTTGATTTTTTAAAAGAAGCAATCAAGTTCCTCTTCTAATAACAATAGCTTCAATAGCTTTAAAATAACAATTGGTCCTTAGATGCAGATCTTTTGCTTTTTCTAAAACAGGCAAAGTAATTCATTGGGGAATTAAGAAAACTGAGGAATCCTCTGAAGTCTTAAAATCAAGACTGATTTAGTCTTCTGAATAAGTTTTCAGTCAGTTACAGGTCTCTGATCTGGAAGGAAGATCAGCTAACCTACCAGTGACCACCCCAGGATGGACCACAGCCACAGTCAGCCCCATAAGCTGTTCCAACAGTGATCAGTGTGAAATAAAAGTGCTTGGTCCTTCTCTAGAGGTGCTTAACTGGTCTAGGCACCTCTCAAGTAATAACTACTATGGCCTGCCATGTGCTTTATGGCTGGTGGTCTGAGGTCTCCACCCATGTCCTGGTCTCCACATTTCTCCCCTGCAGTTACCCCTATGGCTGGTGTGAGAAGAAGGACCAAGCCCGAATGGAAACTAAACAGATGTTTTATTCCTAGAAGTGATCACTTCATCTAGGGGTCAAAGTACACCAGCAGGGCACAGAAGGGAAGCTGTACTCTGTGGAAAATCCTTAGTTTACAGGGATGTCAAGGCAGTGCTGTTAACAAGGATTAACATTCAACCAATGGTGCAGACCTCAGGAGAATTCACTGGCCACTTTCTGGGAGGGGGCCCTCAGATGCTAGCAGGGAGCAGACAGAGGCCACAAGTCCTTATAAGAGACATGTGTTGTCCCTTTAAATCATACCTGGTACAGAGACTTATCTGAGAGTTCACTTACACCAGTTTTTTTTCTGTCTGTTAAGGGCGTTATGGTCTAGACAGATTAGATTAGCATCTATCGTGTAAACACTTAGGGTTGGGAAATAACTCTTGACCTTTCTTAAAGCTTCTTACCCACATATAAGGCAGTGTGGCTTCCAAAACCTGCCACAGTCTCTCTGATCAATGCTATACATACTTTGATAAGTGCAATGAGTTTTAAGGGGAGAAGGGAAATGGGCTAGAATGGACTGGTTACCTGTTTGAACAGACATAGGGATTGAAAACATGGATTTTTGACTCCTAAGTCTTTAATGGCCCCAACTGAGCTGTTCTGGTCTATTGAACAAATCCTTCCTACCTCATGGATCATTGACCTACCAGACCTTCAGAGCCAATGTGCTCAATCCTATTGCTAAGTCTGCTCATTTTGTTCACACTCTAAAAATCATTATGTTTTCTTGAGAAAAAGCACATCTTATGAATAACAGCTATTTTCTACTCTCCCTGTCTCTACTTCTTCACTAAATATGATATATATAGGCCTTGACCCCAAAGGTGTCATGCAAATTCAGAACTCAGGTTTACCAAATTCATTCAATATGGGTAAATCTGGGCTCATGCCTTGGTTTCAAGACAGAGACAAGTGCAAGTTGCTTTATGTCCAAGACAAAAGTTATTTTGTATCTATATTTTCTTCAAAAAGAAAATTAATAACTAGTACAGTATTAACCAGAAAGTCAGTAATAGTTCTGAATGTAGGTATCTTTTACACAGAAAAGAGCTGTATTTCTTTGTCTTCAAAAGATATCATATAGCACAAAACAGCAGTCACCTGATGCACAGGAATCGTGACTTGGAATGGTTCATAAACATCAAGCAAAAATTTAAATTGAATAATTCTGGTATGAAGGAATTGCTACATCCCCTTCGATTTGATTCACAGTCATAGTCGGCTGGAAAATCCCCAGGCAGAGATAGACCACAGGCATGACAGTGTATTGCCTGGAGGGTAAGAAGTCCTCAGCCTGCAAGGCTTTGACCAACAACCTAGGTGAGCATGGTAAACATTTACCTTCAATTTATCCAATTACAAGATGAGTGGGCATTTTTCCCATTTATTCTGCAAGGTCAGAGGGATATGCTCAAAGAACTCTGAAACTCTGTAGTTAAAAAAAAAAAAGTCCTGGGAAAAGTGACAGGAGGCATGAGGCAGGATATTACTTTAAATCAGAGTTATTTCTGCTTGCACAGACCATATTGTAACTACACTGGTATCACTTCGACTTCTTAGTGGACACAGGCAGCATCTTTCCCTCAGAGATTTGCCAGATCCTCATGTTCTCTCTTTACCCTTCAGCAGAGGCCTTTCTACTAATAGGCAATAATTGTTCTCCTATTGACTGTCATATTATGTCTCTCTCTTTCACCCTGTTCACTTTTTCCACAGGAGTGCTTCCATTTATACTTGCCTACCTCTGTTTGATCTGTTCTTGATCTGCTCTCATATCATCCTCATATGATTTTATTCATTTATTTATACTTAAGGTAATGAAAGATACTTATTCAAAGCTCTAGAAGCCCTGACACAGATATTACAAGCAAAACACAACAGTGTGAAAGAAGTTTTATTAAAAGGAACTTAGCTGGGCAACAGATACACCAAAGACACTTGCCTTCTGAAAGCCCATTTTTAACCTTATCCCAAAGGACCCTCAGGGCCTCTTCAAAAATTGTAAAATTCAAACTCTTGTGAAGTGTAGGTTCTATCACATGGACAGACTTGCTTGTGTGTGGATTGTTCTGTCATGGGGTCAAGTATAGCCAAGAGAGTGGAGTGGACACCTGGGAGCAGGACCATCTCACGACCGGCTGTTCCTACTCAAGAGAAGCTAGTTGGGAAAGGTTTCTAACTATAGATTTTTCACAGTTTATATTCTCATAGAATCATAGAATTGTTAAGGTTGGAAAAGACCTTTAAGATCATCAAGTCCAAATTGTCAATCCAGTACCACCCCTATGTTCACCATTAAACCATGTCCTCGAGTGTCATTAGCCACGTGGTTCTTGAACACTTCCAAGGACAGTGACTGTACCACTTCCCTGTGAAGTCTGTTCCAACACTTTACAATCCTTTCCGTGAAAGTTTTTTTCCTAATATCTAATCTAAACTTCCCCTGGTGCAACTTGAGGCCATTTCCTCTTGTCTTGAAAGTCCTCTTATCTTCTCTGTGCATGAAGACATAAAAATGGCCACACAGTGGCTGTAGGACAACAGTGGTCATACGCAGATGCTTATGGAGACATGGGCATTGTATACTACTTCCTCCACATACTCTCCATCCTCCCACTGTTTTCAGCTTAAGGGACTTTCTGATCAGGATGTGGTTTCTGGCTATTTAGTGATCCTCGATGGATTATGTCCCAAGACTTGTGCTGTCTCCTCCATCAGCACATGTAAACTGTAGATATGTGCTATGTCACACTGCACAGATTGAGTCCCTGATGCAAGAAGAATCACCTCATCCTTACTGCTTCATTCAGTGTTCCTAGCTCTTGCTTGAGAGAGAATGACCAGTCCCTACCCAAACTCTCCAAGCGACCCACATCTTTACAGCCATCTATCATATTGCCTCTAAATTATCATTCTTCCAGGCTGGAAAGGTTGTTACACAAACCAGTCTGTTAAAGACTTCACTGCTTCTGCCTCAATTCTTACCTGGTTTTGAGTCCCTCTGTCTTGTTCTTACTCCTTTGACATCTTCACTCCCTCCATTCTTCTGCCTGAAGAAAAGAGATAGTAAAAGTTATCCTTTGCTTTCGTGGAACAGTGGTGACACAGTGAAGTACAAGTATTATTACTACGAAAGCAATACAGAATGCTCTCTTTTCCCAAGGCTTAGTCAAGGACTCAGAAAAGCAACAATTCCATATATCAAGGACAAGACAGAACAGTATTAATGTAAACAAAAATAAACCCATGGTTCTATCTACATTTTTTTCATACTTGTTTAGCAACACAAACTGACTAAAACCCTTCATATTTCATGAACTACCTCTGTCAACCAGTCCACTCTGGTGTTAAAAATCAGAAGTGATGGGACATCTTCCACCAATTTCAGGAAATTATTTCATACACTTGTATGCATAACAGGTCTGGAAAATATGACATGCTACAAAGGTGAGATTGCCACGTTTTTCCTGCCCTTTAATCTGTCTCTCCCCTTTCCATGATACATTTAATTTCTTAGGATATATATTAAGTCATTTCTCTCCCTTACTTGGCCCATCTTCAGCTAGGTGTGTAAACTTGGTGTCTGATTTAAGGTGCACAAGTTGTCCCGTTGTCTTAATGATTCTGAATCATACATTTAAAGCTAGCTTTGTGCTTGAGGGTATGGCCTTGTGAACATGTTACAGTGAGGCATTCAAGGGTGTGGATTTTTAGGACACCAGCTACTCTGCAATAACTGCACAGATAAACACCTTTGCCTGCTGGTAAATGCAAAGCAGGTTAGCCCAGAGAGAATATCAGCCAAGATCACCTCTGCCCCCACTACAATTGCTTCTGCTGCTATTCCCTGAACACTTGTCCTTTTAACAGTCTGACCCCAACAGCAACACTATGCCCAGAAATAAACACGATAGTTGCACATAGAGGCATCGCCACCTCCCTCACCTCCAACGTGATTCACCGCCCAATACAGTTCAAAGTGTACTTTTTTTTTAATACACCCCAAAATCTTGCAAACAGAAGTCATATTTAAGAGACTTTGTCTCCCTTGTTGCATTACAGCTTCAGCTGGTTTTTTTTAATGTTTATATGATAGGATATATTCTTTGCCGAGTCTTTGTTATGTATCACACATATATAAGTCCTCTAATTCTTGAACCCCTCTGTTTCCCTCTGCTGGTTAAAAATGTGTATCTATGGGGAGCAGGGAGGGTGGGAAAGGGCAGGAAATTCCTCAAATAATTCTCAGAGTCAAATCAGGTACCCAGTGTGGGAGGAGGGGGCAGAGGGGACAGACCTCACAAGTACTGTATACCAGTTGTTGCTGCCCTGGTATATATAAATACATTTTTATATATATAAAATGTATAATATATAGTATTTAAATAATATATTTATACATATTATTATTAATAAAATAAAAATAAATACATTTCTGAGAGCCTATAGATATTGTTACACCATGTATATACTTCATAGGGTCCTGAGAAGAGTTTATCAGCTGCACAGAAATTCCTGCATACTTTATCATCTGGGCAAGCATCCCAGTGCCAGTGTTGTCTCTTGCTAGAGTCTCTTTGGAGTACCAGAGGTTCCCAGGAACATTCCCAGAAGCTTTTAGCTCAACATGAGTCACTGCCAAGTTGAGCAGTTTCTTCGAGTCCCTTGTAGCAATCCTCCTGAAAACTGCAGAAGAGGAGCTTGCAGGCTCTACAACAGTCCCTAAAAGGCTAAACTTGTACAGGAGTCATTGTCTGGTCTCCAAAAACATTTATCTGAATGAAGACACATTTATCTCAACCTTGCACACATTTAAGGTCTCTGCAATGAGATCACAAAATCTGCATGTAGCTGGAAATGAAAGACTTCTCATGGAAGTTTTTCCTTTGGTGATTTCCTAAAATCTTTTTGTATATTCTAATAATCCCTTAGATCCCTAAATGATGATCAGCACCCCTTTCCTGTTCGAACTAGATGTTCAAGTCAGTTATATGAGGCCAAGTTTCCTCCCCAGGCAGTTTATAATGTCGGCACACAGGTTATGTTGTCTGCAGTAACTGATGCAGTGAATTACTCCATTATTTAACATATCTCTCAGAACAGCTACCCTCTGAGAAAAAACTGCATTTTTGAGGCCAGCTGATTTTTCAGAAATAGCAAATCATCAGTGGGGCAAAAGGGTAGATTTCACCAAAGGTGCAATAACATTGTTTTCTTATTTTAGCCTACAAAAATTATAATTTCCCAAAAACAAAATGAAAGAAAAAATTCCAACAACCACCAAGCCCTTTTTATTCCTGAAGAACTTGCTATTCCCCACTTATTTTGCTGTGTAAGAATTTGCCTATGTTTTACGTTAGCATTTGTAATGCTTCTTACTAGCCAAAATGCTAATTGTGTGACTTAAGTTCCAGTATATTGCTTCCTTTGAACCTGCTACTCTTGTAGTAGCACTTTCCCTTAATAGCACATTGAATTCATGCAGTTTCTGGTCATCAGTTCCTAAATTCCCTACAGTACTCAAATCTTCAATGAACAGAAAGATGAGCATGAAGCATTTGCCAACTTGAAATCCCTGCTATCTGGACAACAGACTCAAAATTGGTTTTTAATTATTTCAAGATTTTAACTCTGAATGTGTGGCTAAATAATTAAAATTGGGATTGGTAAAATATACTGAAAATACATTTACCATTAAAATGTATCACCTGTTAGTTGTTCTACTTCAAACTCTGTAACTTCGTGGTGTTACTATTTTCTTTTCTTTGATGTTTGTTCCTTTTAAGCTAACACTGAAGAATTTCACTCTCACCCATCGTGGTTATCAAGCTGTGGTTTGTCAGCATTGTCAGTATTTATGATATACAACTCTCTTCTGCTCTTCCCAGCTTTGGGGAATTAATACCTTGTATGCGTTGATTAATAGCCCTTCTGTATTGATATTCCTTTTAGGAGAGTTAGGAATGTCCACCACATAATCATCTCCATCACTTAGTAACACTGCTCCTGGTCTGTTGTATAACTCTTGTATAGGGACACTTGGTATGTGAATACACTCCTTAATTTTCATCTTTTGTTTCAAGGATAAAACAAACAAAACAATAACAAAACCTCCTTTATTTTGCATGCTGGAAGCATATGCCATTAATATTAATTAATTTACTTATTTAAAGTTGGTAAAAGAATTTGCTCTTAGGCTGGGAATGTGACTGCCAAGTTTCCTGTCTGCAATTTGTTACAGCTCAGTAGTAAACTCCTGAAAATAGGAATTTGAAATGGAAATAGTGACAGGCCTTTTAACTACGCTATAATAAGCAGGGTGTTTTATCCTGCATACTGTATGTCGTTACACAATGGCAGCCTATCGTAAGGTGCACAGAAAACAAACAGGGTCTCTTTAGATCACTCTCCTGGCTAAAACTGGGCAGACAGAGGAAGCAAAACAGGCTGAAAAGACAAAAGACTAGAAGGTCAAGAACACCACACCCAGACCTAAGCCCTTCTGTTACACAGCGGAGCAGAAGAATCTTAGAGAACTTGCACTTGAATAAATTGACTTTGATCAGCTTGCCATAAAAAAAAGAGGTGTAGTCTGCCATATTGCTAAAGGAGGTAGGTAAAGAAGGAAATTTCCCTGTAAGTCTGAAGCTGCAAATTAACGTACCCAGGCCTGCCCTGTTATGCAGAGCAAAGCTCTAAAAAGTATGTTTCTTGTAAATGTTATCTGCCTATAACAGTATTTTCTATGTAATTCTGCACATATAAAACACAGGAACATTAAAGCTGGTTTGCATACTAGCTTTCAAGTGACAGTTGTAAAATGTAATTTTTCAGAGATGCTGAACATCTGGAGTCCTAACAAGTCAGCTGAGTTCCTCCAGATTTACACCTGTGTAAATGCCAGCAGTACTGCATCTTTGTGAAAATAAAATACTACTACTGCTTTTAACAAGGTATTTGGCAAACAGGAAAAGAACTGAATCATATGTGCAAAACAGAACAGAGTATCTGGGACTTGAACTGAGCCCTTCTAGTTTGTAGCACACATGCTTAAATGCCAGATATTGAACTGCCACATCATGTCTATTTTTACTAATTGAGTTTACTTGTGTTTGGGCACTGTACCAGCTACTCGGCAAGTCCAGGAGATTAATGTAAAAGCCTCTCTGCATTTAGAAAGTATAGGCATTCTAGATTTACAGCTGCTTATTCTGAGGGTGGCTGACTGCTGATCCTGATGTCTTTGAGTAACAGATGGTTTTCTGAGCTGCACTGATAATGAAAATTATGTAATTTACCTCTTAACAGTAAAATAAAGCAGAGAGGCAGAATAAAAGAAAAAGCAATATATTCACCTTCTACAAATAGCATATCTTAGTACACAGTGGGATGAGGTGGGATGGGAGAAGTCCAGTCAAAACTCAAGGCTATCAATAGTATTGGAAATTCACACAAGTTAAAACTTGCATAAAATAACCCTTCCTGATCTGGACTGTGAAAGCATTGGTCCCTGTAATGTTAGAATTTATAGCTTTAATCTTCTTAAAAGCTGCATGGCTCTTCTCACATGTGGGGAAAACAGATTTGATGTTTCTGAGATTAAAACTACTGAGCTGAACTTTGCTTGTTATTGGCCAGAAGCACTTGGAAACCTAATAAAGCATTCCATTAAAATCTTGGCATTTTAGAAACACAAAAGAAATAGGCTTCTCAAAATGTGAGTCCAAGGCAAAAGGACACTTTTGTGGGGGGGGAGGGAAGATTGTGGAATTTGGATTTTAACGAAGTTTGCAATGACTTAAAAATACATCAAGGGAAATGCAAGGTAGAATGGAACAATAAATGCTTGATGTAACCAGCAATGTGAACTCTTTGTTATTTAAACTTTATTACATTTGAAGACACTTTTTCATGTTCTTTTAAACCTCATACTTTTTTGAGTCTATGAGTAGCTGGAAAAAGTACAACATGCATCACTGACTATCTGTGTGGTCTCTAACAGGTAATGTTAGGCCTGATTTCTTAAAATTATGAGGATCCACAACCACAGCTGAGATCAACATGGGCTACTAGTATTCTGGGCTTTAAATGATCAGCTTTACTCCAAAAAAAAAGCTCCTTAAGGCTGGCTAGGCTACAACTTCAGGTCCACAGGCAGCCTATAGTGAACACAGCTTTGCACTTATAATCAGTATATGATTTGATTTGATCTATGATGATGCCACTAATATTTCTTTAGAAAGAGGCATAATACTGGTGGTTGGTGGTGATGGTATGATCTATGAGTTCAAAGCTGTAGCATGACTGAACAAGGTTTATGATCTTATCAGTAGTGGTAAAACCTTGTACAATACCATCTGGACAAATGGGATGAGAAATGCCTAGTGCCAGCTCATTGTCAAGAACCCTTGCTTGCCTTCACCGAGGTACAGTGAAAAGAAGACTCATAAACTACTGCTTTTACTGTTCTCTGCAGGCTAACAAACAGACAGAAATAAAGACTTATAATCAAATATAAAAAAAGTAAAGCTCCATAACCAGCACTAAATATGATAGGTCTCTTGCTAGGGTTCATTGAAGAGGTTTGGGGTTTTGTCAAAAGGCAAACAACATTAATTCCAATGTGCTATGAAACTACTTAGTCCTCTCTATACTGGCAAAGACAACCATGAAAGTTATGCTAGAATTTGCCTGCGTACGGTTATAGCTAAATCAGATCTTCTAGTGACAGTCTACTTATAAATTGCCCTGTAGAATCAGAAAGTATGTAGGCTATCTTCTGGAAAACTTGTGGTTAAAACCCTGGGAAGCCTGTAGTGATAATCAGGTAACAATCAAATACCTACAGATTTTAGCCTGGATTTTACCTCACCCAGGAATTCAGAGTGTTGAACCTGGATCCTACAGCTGGTGTTAATGAGTTCTACTCAAGTTCATCCCACTGTAGGTGACAGTTGCACAGAGTTCACTTATGCAATTATATTTTCTGCCCTTTCCAAAGAAATTCACCTTTACACAGCTCAACATTATCGGGTGCTCATAAACTGGCTGCTAACATGGCTGGTGTTCTTTAGTTTTAGTGGCACTAACATATAAAGAGCTATCTACTGTAACAGATGCTCTTTCATAGTGCAAAATAACAGCACTCAGACTTAAACTGTAAATTACAAACAATCCCTCTCTAACTACAAAATGAATATGCTGAATGGGGAGCCTTGTCAACTAAGATATTAGTAAATCAGGTTGAGGAAGACAAATTATTCACTAAAGCTAAGTAACTAAAATTTTATTCAGTTAACGTTACTGTCATTAGAGTTCTCCTGTTCTTTGCCATAATTGGTAGATAAGAAAGAGAGTAAGTATAAGCAACATGCAGTAAATCAGTTATGTGTTTCCTTGCTATGTTAAAGTGACAGAAAATGTTTCTGTTCTTCCTTTTTATTAATTTCTATCAGTAGAAAAGATGTTATATAAATACTTATTACTGGCATGTGCCTGGACACATCAAGACAGACCTTTCCCAAGGATTTTATAATTATTTTGTCCACATCAAACCACAGACAGGGCCCAGTGGTGCAGCTGCCATGTATTTGATTACAAATTTACTGATAATAATGCCAAGGAGGGGAGTTACAACAGAAGATGAAAATGAGTTGAAGCATAGCTTTCTGCGCAGAATGTCGCTGGTAATGCTGCAAAAAGCATTCAATGCACAATTATTTTTTTTTTTTTAACCTTTTTTTTTAACCCATCTCTTCATGAAATCCCAATGCCAAGTTCACCAGAAAGATATGCTCAGGGCAAATACCCTAGATTACAAGGTTTACAGCTACATCTGGAGTCCTTGTGACATCTCAAATCTAAAACTTCGTCAGAAAGGACATGGAGAACTCAGAGGGAGCATAGTTAAGGGATGGACACAGCACAGTGGTTCCTGCCCCATAGTGGCAGCCTTTCAGGAATTCCTGAACATGATGGCAAGGATGGTGAGCACAAAGCTGGCCTTACGAAATGCATGCAACTGCCCATGACCTGCATGGGGATAAAATGAGCTAGCCATTCATCATTTTCTTCAGCATGCACTGGGAGACATTGTTGTGTCCCTCAGTTCAGGATCAGGCTTGACAAGGCCCGATTATTATGACTCTGGAAGAAATAGGTATGCTCAAGAAAAGACCTTGGCAGCTGTCTGCAGGCAGGATTTAATATCCTTGCCTTTCATGGGGTTCCTGGGCAGAAGTCTGAAACTCCTCTGCATGACAAATGCAGCCTGGTTTTATCTCATGCATTTGCACTGCCTGCATCTCCTTCAATACCTGGCACCAGACCCCAAATGCCACTAAATAAAGGTACACACGGGTAAAGCTGCCTTATCTAGGTCTTGACCGCATATGTTAAAGAACAGGACTAGCTGAATGGCTCTCCTCTGAGAGCCAAATTTGCCTTCTTTCTCCTTCCCAGATTAAGCAGAGAAGCAGGCAACAACCCCAACAGTTTTGCCAATACTAGCTCAGGGCACACCCAGAGGCATATTTTGTGTGCTTAAAGAACTTTACAGAGTTGAAAGACTTAGCTCAGGAAATGCAAAGGGTCTGGACCTGACCTCCAGAGCCTGACAAAAGAGTATATGCATATACTGAGGAAGGAGGCTCCCTCTGTTGCACAGAACTGGCTCCATTGCTCTTTCCCATTTCCCTAGATATCCAAGGTATTTGTATACAAGTTAGAAGGAAACCAGTAGACTAGTTGGTGTGCAAGGGGACTTGGTGGTCTCAGTGAAGATTGCTTTAGGTGACGTAGCAAAAGGACGTCCTAACGCAGGACCCAACCCAGCCACAGTTTGTGTGGTGGGAAAGCCCCTCAGTCTCCACTTGCTATAGCTGACAAGTGAAATTAATCCATTAGTCTCATTTTAATGCAACAACAAAATCACTGTGCAAATATGCCATGACGGGCAGTTTGTGCCCATGATGCAAGCTATACCCAAACCAGTGGTCATAAAATAAGGATTAAAGTTCAACAAGGAAGCTGATAATGAAGAAGCCTGCCCAGACTATGCCCTATTCTGGCCAGTGTTACATTATCTTCTAATTTTAGAACAGCTGACAATTTTTCCCAGAGCAGAAGTTGACAAGAGGCTGAGCAACGCCAATGTCGTTAAATCTTTGTTTTCAGGCAGAGTGTTGTCTCCACACTGCAAGAAATTGTTTCAGCTTGTGAAATTTTGCAGGAAGGCACACACTGTCGCTGGATGCCCATACAGGGAGCTGTGTAATATGTCGAAACCATCTGGCATTTTGTGGTTTTGCAGTATCAGTCAGACACACTGTCTGGAAACACAGGGCTCAAACCCAGAGTCCTTGATTCAGGTCAGATACCTACAGATGCCTGTGGTCGTTTGGCTGGACTAGAAGCTGCAGAATAAAGCACTTAATTAGGTGGCTGAAGTTTATGACTGATTCTACGGGCAGCTGAGCTAGAAGCCTATTATCGCTCAGGAAGGTTTAGTAAATGTAATTATTATGGTATGCTTGATATAATACACAGTCTTCATGAAATGCTCCAAAATATCATTTTAAAGACTCCTTTTGTTGCTGTTATGCTTTGTACCTTCTGACTAAGGAATAGGCCAGATAATGTGAATCCCAATGTGAAGCTTACTGAAAACTACTACTAAAATTAATAGAGCACAGTTACGGAAGAGTATTTTGTATAGAATTACCTTGTCTGAAGTGTGAATAACGCTGCCGAAAGCAGGCTCTGGGTTACATTAATCCAGTGATCCAAAGTTTTTTAACCAGCTGATGTCACTAGGGAGATTTGAAGTCTTTATAATTACCGCTCAAGGCCTAGAAGAAGAGGGGAGGAAAGACAATGAAATTATGTTTCATATGTTGATTCAGAGAGTAACCTGCAGTGATCTGTTAACTTGTTTCATCTATCAAGAAAAGCAAATTAATTCTATATCCAGTCGGTTTTATAAGTGGCAGCTCAATTTGCTTTCCCAGTTAACCAAGGAAGAAAGTGGCCTTTTGTCACAAACAATTGCTTCCTGCAATGCTGCAGAATAAGATGTAAAATAGGCAAAGAGCTTTGGATACAGCTTCCAACGTCCTACTAAGAAGTAAAATTTCTTTCTTTCATCTTCCTTTAGAGAAGGAATTCAGGTTATGCTCTGCACTAAATTAAAGTGTTCTGCTCAGTTATGTACATGTACAGCTTTGAAAACTGTTCCTGCTTCTAGGTCAAGGGCTCTCCCTGTGGCCAGGTGCCAGCTTTATCCCTGGACTCCCATAATCCCTTGAAATAAATCAACTTTCCATTGAAATCCTCTGCCAGTTCCACTGCAGACTAAAATGTGCTGTCTGTTGCATGACGCTCTTTTATACTTTTGTGGAAACAAAAAAAAAAGAGAGAAACAATGTGTCCATTGTGTACTGGATACAGTTGGAGGTAACACACATTGTGTGTATTAAAGTCTATCTTTGTATCTTTCACTAACCCAAGATTTCAGCATTTATTATTAGAACTAAGAAAAATACCTTTGACCAAAGGAATAATTCAACTGATTGAAAAGGATCCCAGCTTGTGTGCGTGTGTGTGTGAGTGTGTATCCCATTACTACTCTGCTCACGTGGACTGAAGTGTGTGGATGCATTATACTACTTCCCTGAGCAGATGAAGCCCTCGAAGATTTTTTTCTCTTTCCTTTTTTTTTTTCCTTTCCCCCCAATATCAATTTCTTCTCTGTGTGTTATAAATGAACCTGAATACATTCACACGTTCATGTGGAAGACTAAAAGCTGTCACTTCATTTCAGGGAACCAGGAGGCTTTAAACTCAGCTGCAAGAAAGCCCAGATGCTACTACATCTCCAGGGGAAACTTATCTACTCAGAAATGGCAAAACTTCTGAACAATAATAACAAAATCTAGCTTAAAGATGCTGCTGCCGTTCTTCTGTCGGTGCTGAGGTCAGTACTTTGGAGAGTGGGTGCCAGTCAGAAACTGCAGCACTCTGAAGACTGACATTTCTAAAAAGCTCTGCTTCTCCCCAAATCTCAGTAACTTTAAATGGTCTGCCAGTTAAATCAGAACAGCCTGGTATAAAGCCTCCAATTTTCTGACAACCTTTATAGTCTCTTGGCTCCTACAAGGCCCTAAAGCTGATCGTGTATAATCCTGAGCTGAATGTAAAATAAATATGAAAACCTGTCATGATTTTACAGTTTTTCAAAGGATATTTCACTAAATAAAAAGAGCTGCATTTTTGGCACACAAATGCTCCATATAAAAATCACAGTTAGTTCTTTGAAATAAAGTTACACAACGCGGTGCCAGACTCTGCCCTCTGAAGTTTCCCCCTGAGTGCTGGGGAGCAGCTGTCTACATCCTTATGAGCTGGCTGGTCCTGAAGGTCCTGTGCTCCTTTCCCCTGCACAATGGCTGTGCGAATCAGGGCGGTGACACTGGCTTGAGCCAGTCCAGCCCCTGAGGGTTCCTCCAGCATGGGAGCCTAGAGGGACATACCTGGGTCTCATATGAGCTAGGGCTCTGCCCATGGTGGCCAGCTAAATCTAGCACTGGCAATTGCTTCCATGTTTGTGGTGCAAATATAGCCTGAGCAAATTGTGACCCAGAGCTCACCCAGCCTTCGTGTCCTTGAAATCTGTTGCCTAAGAAAATAAAAATTGTTTGCTGAAACCTCTTCCGCTAAGCCTGCGTTATTTAGCTATCTACATTAACTATGCGCCAAGGCATGGGCTATAAGCTGGAGCGTCCACAGCACTAGAGCTCAGAAATTAGTTTAAATCACTGACAAACTAGAGCTGATTTCAGGCTCCACTGGCTTTACAGACCCTCAAAAAGATCTACAGGTCCAGAGCACAGCTACAAGGCCAGAGAGGGATGCATAGGTCTAGCAAAGTAGGACCCAAACACAGCAACATCAACAATGGACATGAGGTGCATTTTGAGTGAAGCTGTGACCAGACTGACAAAGTATCTATTTACCACCCTGCAGAAAATCTAAAAGACCTGTCCTGCAAATCCTGGGGTGGTAGCTCACTGTTAAAATCACAAGTTATGTTTGCACAGTTCTGTTCGGATGGTTGGCTGGGAAGATACAGAGGCAAGGCAAGGCATCTGTGATGTCACTCACAAGGTTTCCAGGTTTGTCTGCAGAGCTCTTTCATCATGCAGGTTTTAAACGTTATGCACCTGTGTCTCATATTCTCCTCCTGGAACAGGGTACAGGCAATTGCACTGAATATAAAAGCCTCAGTAAACTATTCCCCTAGAGCTTTAATTTTAAATCAGACTAAGTGAAACTATCTGTTTTTTTCCTAGAAGCCCTCAGTGGACAGTTTCTTCACTTAGCTCCACCACCTTCAGTCCTTCCTTTTAAGTGAGGAGTAGAGCTGAACCTAAAAATTCAAAGCAAAACTCAGCTGAAACCACTATGTTTCATCTGGTTACGTGTCAAAACCTCAAACCTTGTGTACACAGGGCTCAAATTATAAACCCATCAGGCATAATTCCAGAGCTGGACCCAGGTTTGCATGGAGAGCTCACAAATCTTTTAGAGAAGCTGATATGAGTTTTGAGTTCATAATGACTTGAAAACCCAAAGTGGCCAGGAGACTTTTCCAAGGTCAAACAGTGAGTTAGAAGGGGAGCTAAGAAGAGAACTGCAGCCCTGGCCACTTCACACACTTTCCTACCAACAGAGGCAGAAACTCACTCTGCTTGAACTTCATTCTGCATAGCCTTTGTCAAACCACTCAAAACAACCACTTTTCTTACCTGTTAATTGTTTTAATAAGTCACATGGCAATGAATGACTAAAAAATACATCATCCCTGTAAGGATTCAGCTGTGGAAAAAGCACCATTTAGCTGCAGGGTAGTTATTACTGCATAGCTTTGATTTTGCTGCACAGTGCATACCCTGTTTATTGAAATGCTTACATGCTGCTGTGGGTGAAATCATCATGACTTACAGGTATATTCTGAAGCTAAAGGAATTAACTCAGATCCACTCATCTAGACTGAAAACAAGCCCTGTCCACTTATCTGGGTCTCCATAATGCTCTCAGAGGTTGGCTAATGTCCCTTTGGACGTTTTTGAATGCTACCCAAACCTCTGCATCTAAAACATGAACATAAAATTTCAAGGTGAGAAAACACACTTGCAGTTAGAATACCTGCCCCTCCTGCTGGCTCTGCCATGGCACATGTCTCACTGCAGAGAACTGAGATAATTTCAAGTTCACAGCATAGGTAATGCAGTAGTAACTTTCAAATCTAGACCATCATGCAGTAGTCACTCATTTGCCTGTTCCACATCCATTCTACCAAAACTTTAAGATATTCTGCAATACAACTGTTCTGGGACCAAGGCTTAATGCTGAAATACCATCAGGGCTGAGGTTTGCTACATATTGCTTTCTAACAGTCCCTGCTGTTTGACACCTGGAATGGCATTAAGGAGCTCTGGCACTGCATCCAGAGTTTTCTACCAATAATTGCAAATGCTTCTACAATATGAGAAAAAGAAAAGGGGCTTCAGCATTTAAGGACTGGGTCTGTTTAAGGTCTTGAAAACATTTTTGTGGAGTGAAGGGTCAGCATTTGAAAAGTAAGGTATGGCTTATATACACATGTAGTAAAAACCTGAGATTCCAATACATACCTTTTCCAATTTGAGTTAATTAGGAGTTTGCTTTACTCCCTGCTAGTTTTGCTTGCAGGCAAATTTTTTTTGAGCTCAGCAGCCAGGACTGTATCTAGGGCTAAGCTCTCCCACCATTTCATTCCAATATTGAAAGAATTTTTCTGGCTTCCTGTTAAACCATGCACTGATTACAAAATTCTTTTGCTTATTTAGGGCCAGATTCAATAAAAATTCTGTCCAGCTTCCGCATCATAGAAGGCCACAAAAGCCCTGAAATATTTTGGTTTTGAAGCCTGTGTGGGCTTCCATGGTTTGGATGCTGGGTAACTGTTCCAGTGAATGTGGTCCTCATAAAGCTTTTCAAGGTCCTGCTCCATATGGACCTAGTGATTTCTCTTTATTCTTTCCAGTGTGGATTACAATCCACTTCACAGAATCTTTGATTTATGCCTCTAGCTACAAGCTAAATCCTAGAGGAATAGGTCCTTTTCATACCAGGTCACATCCTCTGCAGAACACTGACAGAAAAATTAGAGTTTCTGAAAAGCAAGCACCACTTACAAAAAACTGGTACGTTTTGCATGCTTTATATGAATATAAGTGAATGGTAAAAATCTAAAAGGAAATTCAATAAACTACTCATTATCTATATTCATATGACTAAGCTACACGTGGAACGTAGCTTTCATCCTCCATAAAAAATGTACAGATGTTCTATAGAAAACTGTATGAACAAACTTTAACCTCACGACTGCTATTATTTTGTAATAAAAGGCTCACAGCATAATGTGAGCTTTTTTTAGAATGTAAGTTCCATGTGAGTAGTGTGTTGTTAATTTAATATTAATGCAATGCACCAGGAAAAACTCTGCACAGAATCTCAAAGAGAGAGAATCACAATGCTGCAGACAGGAGATTTGTGGCATGGATTTTATTTGTTTCAGCACTCAGAACAAAAATCATTGACCAGGATTCTAATTGCCATAGGGCAGTGGATTCATCTACAGATGTTTTCACATGCCTTGGCATGAGGATTTTGCTGCAGCATTCCTGCTACTGTTCCTGAGAATCATGTGGTTAAGTCACCTTGCGCTGCACAGAAAATTTACCTCTCACTGTCAAGTGCATATGAATGAGCTTCTTTTTTGGGAACAGCAAAAGAAAAAAAGAATCTA